TTCCTGCTTTCTTTTTATCACTCAGTCCAATATTAAAATAGGAATGAATAATATGAAAATAAGTAATTTTTTTGAAGCTCATAGAAATTCTTCAGTTCCTGGTGTACTTTATGAAGATATGCTCCATTCAGCTGAAGGAAAAAAAGCAACTGAGCTTCTGCAGGTGAACAGGTACCTTGTACAGGTATACGAATATGGAGGGGAACTGCATCAGCTGATGCCATGGATTTCTAACTTGGATTGTTGTCAGTACACCTGGGTCACTTAAAATTAAATGTTTTTAAACAGAACAAACATTTTATGTCTCTCACTACACAATGCAGGCACATTTGGACCACAACACAATGAGGTCATTTAGAAAATAAAAACTTTCTTAATATTATAATAAAAAAACTTCTCATGGAATTCTGATAGTGAGCTAGGAACTTTTCAGAGAAATATGGGGAAAAAACAGTCAAAATACTTGTTAACTAGACAAACACCTTCCAGTTGCCACTGTTTGATGAAGGGGCTATTTTTTGTTGGCTATTAGGAAGTATTTAAGTCTTCAGGGTGTAAATATATGTTTGGAATTGTTCCTTAGTTTTATGCACCTCTAATGTCCGCATCTTCATCTCACTTAAACTGAAGTAGTGATGTTAACTGATTATTGTTTTATGCTTCTTGTGATCCTTAAAGACTGCAGTACCAATATCCTCAATTTAGATTGATTTTAGATTTCCCACTAGAATAATTATATGAGGACATGTATTTCTGATGCAGGAGTAAGATAAGGAAAATAGCTGTTACACTGACTTTCCCTGTACTCAGGTATTTTCAGTACAGGTGTCCATGAATAACTATAATTCAGCAATCTTTATAAAATTCAGTGCAACATGCAAGAAGTTATGTTACAGGCATAATAACAGTGTGGATCCAGGCTGTGGGGCTGTATTATCATTGCTATTTGTTACCTACATTGCAGTTGTGAAAAGAAATGTGCTGACCAGGGCTCCAGTCGGTACTAGAACAAGAGTTAAGGATAAATTTATCTCTAATCACAACAAAAGGAAGACAGGCCACACACTGTGTGTTACAGCCTCAGCTGCTAAAATTCAATGGCTAGGTTCCAGTTTGAATTTAGAGTTACAACGTGAGACTCACTCATTAATTTCAGTTACCTAAAACTTACAGTTCCAGCCTACGGCAGTCACTGTAGGTTCCTGTCACTGTCTGACTCAGGTCTGACACCAATGCTCTCAATCCCCTCCCCCTCCCACCCAGATAGGGAAGGAGAGAGAGAAAAATAGAGAGACTTGCCTGGATTGAAGACTAAACTACACAGCTTTAATTAAACACTAATGATATAAGAAAATATATACAATTATATACAAATATGTTCACATACGTGCAAAAGCCTCTCGCCTCCTCCCACCCCCAGTAACTCCCACAGCATCTCATGAGCTGGAACAGTCCTGAAAAATCCTGGAGCTGCTGGACAGAGCAGAGAGTGATGAGGGTCAGGAGAGTTCAAGGCTGGGGGTCGACAATGATGGATGAACGGAGTCCTCCCCGGACGCCGGCCATGGACCGAAGAGAAGGGAAGAAACAGGAAGGAAGTTGTCTTCTGTGATCTCTGACCTTCCTCTGAGCTTACATAGATATATGGAATGGAATATCTTTGGCCAATTTTGCTGTCTGTCTAACTCAGCCTCCTATGGGGGGGTCACAAATCTCCCCATAGTGTCTGAGCCGGCAGAGTGCAGGTGCGGCCTTGAAGCCTCAGTAGTTAGAAAAACATTCCACTGTCTTATCAGCCTAGCAGAACACACTGTTGCTAGTTACAAGAAAGCTTACTGAAGGAAAAAAAAAAAAAAAAAAAAAAAAAAAGAAAAAGGAAAATTGCCTTCATCCTGGCTTAAACCAGGACAGTTCCCTTTACGGTCAGTCTGTTCCAGAGGCAGAAAAGCTCCTTTGAAAGATACATTGCTACATCTCACTCGTAAAGTTCATGACAGAGGGAACAAGTCTCCCTTCAGAAGTCTTAATCTCTTGCTGCTGATGATAGGAATGATGTACATGACTACCTGAATATAGGTGCTTAGAAAACTAAGGCTAGGCAAGGCAAAACTAATTCTGGCATGTGCCCATAAGCATTCAACTTGAAGCAGCTTTATACTTCATTTAAAGGTTCAGAAAATAGGTACTCCTCCTTAGAATCCTTATTCAAAGACTGTGTTTATACTTTACACTGGAAACTTTTTAATCAAACCTCCAAATTATCACTGGGTAGGGAACATAGGGAACAGGAGACAGAATCCAGTTTCTCTTCTTTCCAAGGAATGAAGAGTAAGATAAGAAAGTAAGTAAGAGGAAAGATCCTGCTTGTACAGCCAGCTTCAAGTGCAGTAGGCAAATCTGCCTTCCAGTTTCTCCTCAAATGGTCTATATCCTGATAATTTTGGTATTATTTGGATGTGTGTGCAGTGGGATTTTCAATCTCATCAGGGTTTGATAGAAGCTGAATGTACCACTGCATCTTGGATGTGAGCTCTGGCTGCCAGGAGACTATTAAGTTAGATGTGAGCATCAACATCTCCCCTTCCTGGGGATGCTTCTTGAAAGAAAAAAATGTGTCAAACTCAATTTCTTTAACAAGTAGATGAGAACCCCTTCAAGAGGCAAAGGATGCCATCCTTGCATCCTGAGAGTTGCATCCATATGGCTGAATACTGTAGGTAGCCAGCAGCATTCTAAGAAAAGCTTTGAGACACTTATTTTTTCCCTTCTAGATAGCAGTAGAAGGTTCCCTGCTGTGCCCATGGGGTTTTGCGATCATTACTTTGGGGTGACTGACTCAGCTTATACATTACACATGTCTTGGCTCCTAACTCACTGGTTTTGCAGACACCCTATTAGAACCTAAATCCTTTAATGCATCATGGTTAGTCTCATGGTTAGGCCCCAACCTGCCCGGTGTCTAGGATTATGGAAGCAGGTGATTGAAAAAGACGCAAAAGACAAAAGCATTTGAACTGTAAAAAAACCAAACAGCAAACCAACAACCTCCCCCCCAAAAAAAAACCCAAACCAAACAACAAAATAGAAAGCAAAGCCAAAACAAAGGCCAGTAATAATTAGGCATAAGTATCAGGCAGTAATTATTTACCTGAAAATCCTATAGATCTACTGACAGTAAGGGCCTGGCTCTGCCAGTCTTTTCAGGATGAAATGCAGCTTATAGTAACTGCTGGCAGGGGAAAGTCTGTCTGAGTAGGAGAGTGAGAGACATGAAGAGGCTATGCATGTACCAGAATTCAAGAGTGACATGACATTCATAAGGGTAGCAAGTGTATTCAGCATTATTGCAATAAATAGTGAAAAAAACACCTGCTGAGAGAGCATTAAATTTGTGCTTCAAGGACAGGTTCTAACAACAGAAGGCCAAGAAGAAATGTAATAGACCAGTGCAAATTACTCCAAGTATTTTTTCCTTCAAGAAATTTACATCTTCCCCTGAAGTATCCAATGGTGACCAATGTCAGGGATCAGATGTTAGTCTGGCAGCATCTTCTGTCTGCTTTAGTTTGGCAATTCCTATAGAGGCTGGATTTTAAGAAGTTGGTGACAGCTGATGTCTAGGTTCTTTTATCAGAGTGTAAATTTAGCATCCTCCTGAATTAAGTACTTAGGTGGCAGAGTTAATGTTATATCAATTCAAATGAAAGATTTTCAGTAACAGAGGTGGACAGCTGGCTGAAAAAAAGTATAAATTAGGACATACAGAAAAAAATTGCTCCTCATAGAGAAGTCATTAGGAGTAATACAATAATTTACATTTTACATAAGTGATGTGCTTTCTACATTTTCCCCCCTTTTTCAGTAAAGGTTACATCCCTGTAAGCAAGCAATTCAAACTGCTATCAGTTTGCATTGATATTGATGAGGACTGCAGGCACTCATCATTTCTCTGGAGGTGTTTGTTTATTTTCACAGTCAGCAAAGCAACAGCAACAATTGCACTAGCTGCAGAGAAGCAGAATTCATTCCTGCCAGCCAGGCATAGCTTAGCAACAGGATTATAATGTATACGTGCAGGGAGAATCTTCTGATTTATTTCAGGTAACAAAGATGTCTTTTTCCAGGATCTGTGTATACATACAAATATTTGAAAAATATAAGCGAGAGAGAGGCCCAGCCTTCTGAACACATATATCCTTCCAGACCCTTTCCTGACCCCAAAGTTATGCTCTCCTGTCACTGACCCATCTAATCACCTTTGTGCTGCTTTCTCAGAAAAGGCCTGGGAAAACCCATCAGCTTTGCAGCGTAATCTGAAGGTCAACACATCATCGTTTTCTTGGCTAATTCTTTCTTTGACTAAGACTTAATATCAGGTCACTCAAAAAAAGCTACATATTATAAAGGTGGGTTTTTTTCCAGGATTTCAAAAGCCATTCAAAATTTTGTGTAATTAACTAGTGGTCTTTATAGCTGAGTCTAAGAGGAATTAGAACAATAATTTTTGCAGAATAACAAAGTTGTTGTGTTTTTTTTTCTCTTTAACAGCAAAGAAGAAATATTGGCAACGTGTGACAATGACATGTGGAATAATTCAGGGACTTCAGGTACAACAGCTGATTTAATTAGTTCTTCCTTGCTGCATATTTAGTTAAAAAATAGTGTAACAAATAACCTCGTAGTAATTATTTAAGTATGTTTTGTTAACTCTTCAGACATAAATATCCCGGAGATCACGTATTCACAAGCAGAAGATAAAGACACCAAACTACCTAATGAAAATACAAAAGATAAAAATGCAGAATATAACCAGGATGATCATGTAGATGATGAAAAAGAATTAGAATTACTGGTAAGTGTTATACAACTATACCTACAGTATTAAATGATATGAATCCATTTATGCTTCAAAGCTGGTGAAATGTCCCCTTTTAACAGAGCTGACTGATGTACTAATTTACAAATGTAAAGCCTTATTCTGTACTTTCACTGAATCTCTAACTGATTCAACAATAGAAGGTGCTTTGATTTCAGTATAGTGTATCAACTTTTTCTGGTCTTCAGTTAATGACTTCTCCCTTTTACTTCTTTACCAGCGGCTCTAAATTACAGTTTGAAGGAATTAAAGAGTAGCATTTCAAAAATCTTCCCTCCTAGTCTCCGGGATGGGAACATTCTTAAATAAACATTTTATATTGGGTAAAATTCTTATATTTATGGTACTGCTTGCTGTTGGGGTTTTCAAAGGATGACTATGTAACATGGTATATGAGCAAAATAAATAAATACACATTTATATTAGCAGATTTTCCTATATCAGTATTTTACATTAAATTTTTAATAATAAATTTCACACTCAGTGAACATTCAATCTATTTGGATTTGTGTGTGCCCATGGGTGTGTGTGGTTTTGCTTGCATTTTTCAGTATGAAAGAAAAAGTGGCAATAAATGAGATGCGTACAGCAATCTATTATCCTCAGTGTCTGTTCTCAGCTCATATCATTTGGGTGCGTAGATTCATAATCATAGATTATAATAGCTATCACCTGTGAAAATGTGAATGCTGAATCAGACAGGAGAGGAAGATGACAACATTTTTTTTTCCTTCTCGATAGAGAGAAAATAAATTCCTCTTATTTGAATAGAAATTTTGCTTGTCTTCTACAAAAGGAAGTTGAAAATTGTTGCCTATTGTGGGACCTTTCACTGCCTAGAAGTCAACATCTTTTTAATTTTTTTTTATATTTTTTTTTTGTGTTGAAACATAAAAAAGAGGACCTCTAAAATCCCTTGTTCTCAGTCCACTCTGTTACAAAAAGGAGGATCAAATATAACCATTTGTTTATCAATTGCCAGGGTTGTCCATACAATAAATGAAGGGGGAGCTATAATTTAGATGTTAATTTGCAGTATGTGCTCTCTAATGAATTAAACAATGAAGACTTATAATAGATGGAAATACAACCAAATCTTTGAAACACACAGGCATTGGCTCACAAGACAGCTGTGCAGTTGACAAGTAACATGAGCCTTATGTGAGAAGAAGGGGAAATCGTAAGATTTGCATATAATTATTGAGATCATGCAAATGTCAGTTATGAGGAGGGGAAAAAAACACAGGCATCTCACTGTTAAATCCTGACAGTTGGCATCACCGAAGAACTCAAATACACTTGAGCACTGGTTGGCAGAGGGTCATTAAAACAGAATTTGCAGAGACATTAGCTCCCTCACTTTTCTTTGAGTGACGTTTTACTATTAATAGTTTGCAGAGGCTTTGCAGAAAACATATTAATAAGAGAAACTGTAATGGGGGTATCTTCAGCAAGTGCAAATGTATAAAGGGGTGCCCAAGAAGCTAGCCTCTAATTGATCAGCTAGTGCTATCACTGTGACTATGCTAAAGTGAGAAGAGTGTGCAATGACAAGCAGGCATAGCTGAATAATACAATATGATATTTGGGAGCTAGGAGGGAGAGTGATTAGTTTCTGGCTTTTTACTTCGCTAATCTCATTTCCAACTCATGTCTTACCAGATTGTCTAAAAACAGTCTGGTTTGAAGTCTGTAAAATGGTCCCTGAGAGAAATGAAGCACAGATAATCCCCACAGTATTTGTCAGTGTGAAATGGGTCTTTGTTTTACTGGACAATACTGTATATTACCAGGCTTTGATGTACTGTATCAATGTCCTCATTTAAGCGCCAATCCTCCCCCCTCACCCAACACCTCCCTCTCTCCAAACCTAGAGTTGAATGTATAGAGGATGAATTTGCCTCCCTTTAAGGGAATATTCTCTTCAGATTTAATTTGTATGAAATTCACTAGCAGCTTACTGAACTCATGAATAAAGAGAGAGGGTTCTGAATGCTATTTTATTTCCTTCTCCTCTCAGCATCACCCCAAAGCTCGTTACCTATGTTAAAATAAGTACAACGCAAATTTTGCAAATGGTTTGGAACATGTTTCCATAAAAGCTTTGCTACCAAAACCAAAACTTTCCATAACAAAATCCTGTCTCCTTTATTTGGTATAATTTTGAAAAGCCCTTTTTGATCATTCTTTTCTATTCTATTGTTTCAGCTAAATCAGCATTTCACAGGAGCTAGAGCTACCTCTTCCAGAGATGAAAGGAATTTATACACAACAGAATCAGTTAATTTTCCAAGTGAAATGGAAAGATTGGAGAAAAAGCTAACCTGTATAGAAAGAAGCAGTGACTTGCTAAGGCACCCTGTGCCTATCAGTTCCTCATCTGAAAACACTTCACAAGAGACAGGAGAAGAATTAAAAGCTAAAGTTAAGTATTCCCTAGGAGATTATAATAGTCAGCCATCAGGGAAGGAAGTCACTGCTGGCTTGGTAAACAGCAGTGAGTGGTCTTTGGAACGTACTAGTGCCAGTAAAAGCCTTTTATCAGCAAAATATGTTCCTGGGACAAAGCAGAATGAGGCTGTTGATACTGTGGCTACTGTCTCAAGCCAACAAGAAGAGAGCCATGCAGATATTTCAAAAGGTGAAACAGACGGTGCCTCAGGAAGTAAGATGATGGAGAGGTTATTCATCAGTGAGGATGCTACTGATAGCTCAAAAGAGGCCTGTGGAACGAGACCAAAAACCATTTCTCCAGAGCATGATGAATCCATGCAATTAAATGCATGCATAGCAGGGACGCTGGATGACAATGCTAATCCAGCTCCAGAGCCACAAATGTCTCACCAAACTCAGGATTCATTGTTGTCAGATGCTGACAAAAATGAAGGAAAAATCAAGATGATTGAAAGCAAAGTTCAGGTACATTTAAGAGGAGATTTATATGCTGACACTTTTGCACATGGTGATGTCTCAATAGATTCCACGAAAAGCCAGTATACGCAAAAAAAAGGAGTTGGTGAAATGTCAGGAAAAAACTATAACACTGATGGAGGGAAGGAAAAGAAAGTAATTGAAGTAGCAGACTTAGCACTAATCGGTGAGGAGGAAGCGCCCAAGCCCTTCAAGTCACACAGAAAACACAGAACCAAAGCATCGAGTACAAGACCTCTGCCAGCAGAAGACAACAAACAGGCACCCAGGCCTGCACAGGCACATCCCCCAGCACCCTCTCCAGAGGATGAAAGGAGAGCTGAAGACACTTGGGAGCACAGAGGATTCAGAAGGTTAAAAGACAGAGGAAAGTCAGACAACACAAACAAAGGAAGGCTGACAGGAAAGGAAAGCAACACGGACCCTGTGGAGCAGAAGTGGCAAGAACTGGGTAGTGAGGTTCTGTGGGGAGTGGGGGGGAACACGGGACCTCAGATTATGGCTTCCACAAAGGGGTTGTTTACCTGCCAGGAGGCAGAGAGTTGTGAAAAGTCTTCTGTCTCCAAGCAGGGTATTACAGAGGAAGCAGAGGCAGGTACAGCTTATATAATTAAAACAACATCAGAAAGTGCTTCAGAAAAAATGTCTGCCACTGAAAAAGCAGTAATTGCTAAGCTACCTCGAGAGACTGCACTAAGTGACAGGCCCACAGAGGAAAAGGAAACAGCGTTTGATACACATGAAGGGAGAAATGATGGTTCACATTATGCTCTTTGTCAACTCAACACAGTGGGTGTATTATATGACACTGAATTTGAAAAGAAATCAGTTTTAGATATTTATAATGCACACGTACATGAAACACTGCAAGGAGAAACGATGTCTGTATGCAATAGCAGGGAAAAACGTGCCAAAGCACAACCAGACATCAGCAATATTCTACCTGTAGGAGAAGCTATAAAGCTTTCTGCTACAGGAAAGAAAGAAGATGTGCAGCAGGGTTTATTTTCAGAAGTATCTAAACATCCTCTGAGTGCCCAGAAGCATCTGTACAGTGAGGAAACAGGAGCACTCTGTAGGGAAGAAAGCCATGTTGGTGCACTTTCATATTTAAGTGCTGAAGCTGAAACAAAAATGCCACCTTCTGGTACAAATGCTGTGACCAGTTATCATTGCAAAAGTTCTTTAGGGGCATCTTCTGAGGGGTCTACTGTGACAGGAGATACGGAGCATCTGTATAGACACTTTGAATTCAGAGTTGTTGACAAGGCTGCTCCTGAGCCAGGTTATGATTTAAGTCTACCAAATGAAATGACATGTATTAATAAAAACCTCTCTCCTGAAGCTGAAAAAAAGCATGTACCTTCCACTTCAGAAATAACAATTTCTAGAGATGGAAGAGGAAGGAATACAGGTCAATGTTTCCATCAAGCAGGGTTTAAACAAGACAAGTCACCCAGGCCAGAGGTTTTAATTAGTACGCCTACTGAAGAAGTTGGAGGGACAGGTGCTCAATCTGACCATTTAACAATGGAAGGGAAAACACTGAATTCGCTTGATGACTTGCAGAAGGAAAGCCAGTACATTTCTGATAATTCTAACCAGAATAGTGAATCCCTTAAGTTACCTACTGAGTCTCCAGGTTTAAAACATATTGCTTTTAAAATCTTTTATTTCTTCTGCTTTACTTTTTTTGCTGCAACACTCTATCACTATGATTTGATGGTTTGTCTTGCACTCTACCTGTTCTCCTTGTATTGGCTGTACCGTGAAGGAAGAAGAAACCAGGAGTCTATCAAGAAGGAATAGAATTAATTGCCAACTGTGCTCAAAAACCATGGTCAATACTCTCCAACCTCTCCAAAGCATTTTCACTATTAAAGAGCTTATTCATTGTTAGAACCAAAGCAAGTTTTCCATAGAAGCAACTTTTTTTAAAAGATTACGTATGAAGTTGAGCCTTCATATAAGTAATTATACTGTACAGGACCATTATGTTTGGATCATTAAATACCTACATGAATATGAGTTCTGAAGCACATCAAGTTAAAATGAAGTACAGCTGTTGCTCCTTAGCAGGATATGAAGCAGCAATGCTTCATATCTCTTTAATACTTAAACCCACTATTTTCTTGCATTTATTTCTTTTGCAGTAAAGCTTTGGATTTTTTTTCTGGGAGTTTTTTTCTAAGGTTTTGTGTAGTACATAACAACATAAGGAATGGTATAAAAACTAACTCAGTATTTATATACTGACATTGCAGTTGATAGTCTGCTAGTGCAGTTAGCCAATGCTCTAAGAAACATGACATCTGTGACCAGGTTAATACTTTTTCCCAAGTTTTTATTTCATTGCAACCTAGAGCTCCAGTGATACCTGTGGTAGAAAAAAATTAAGGCTTTGACTTCAGTAACATCATGTAATTTTAAGGATTCAACTATGTAGCAGGATAGGTGTGCAGTTCCCACTGTGAAGAGCTTAAAGGCCACAGCCACAGGCCTATTACATTCACTCACATGCACAATGAATGTTTTTGGGTTTTGTAAATGAGGACTGTATTACATTACTGAGGATTTCACTGAAATATATGTTATTCCAGACGAAGCCTTTGAATGACATTTTTTCATCAGTGTCACCTGAGCATATGTACAAAGCATTAAACGAATTTGAATAAATTTTACAAAGGAGTTCTGTGACTGTGTTGAGCATGTCTGTATTAAGTTTACTGCTGTTTTCTATGGCTTCTTATCCAGAGCCAACCAAACACCAAGAGAAAAACACAAGGCATAGTTCTGGCTTTCACTGAGGCTGCTTTGTGTGGTATAGGTGAGGCACAAAAGCCTGCTACCTGGCCCTAGGGAGAGCCCAGACTAATCCATTGCATCAGGAATCTCACGGGGCAGGCATGCTGGTGGCTCTGCTGCTCCAACATCATGGGTCTCCCATGAAGGGTCACACAATAAGTTCTTCTGGAAAGAATAGGATGGACAGATTATGTTGTGTTTCAGCCATTTTCTGGATGATGGTCACAAATGCTGCCATAGGTAGCATGTTAAAAGAAACACCAAGGCTAAATACTGTTACTGGAGCCCTAGAATTTACGAATGAGAGTTGTTTTTAAGCTGTGTTTGTTTCCCTCTACTCACTGCAACTGTGAAATACCACTTCAGCTGTGAAAGGCTTGGTTGCAATATATGGCTGAAGCTACAAAACAGTGAAGTTATTTAGTTATTAGCATAGCTCTCAAATAAATATTTTTAAGTGCATTTAAAACTTTTTTACATGCTTCAGAATGTTAGCAGACTCTGATATAGGAAGCACTTTGAAATTCCAATTCTCCAGGGGGGAAAACATCAGAAAATTGTGGGAGGAGAGTATTCAGTGGGGTGAGAACAAGTGTGGGTGATCTATAGCTGATGTGTGTGCTGATGACTGGATACTTACACAACTTTTTACAGCAGTCCATGAAGAAGTTATAGTGGTGGGCTAGAGGCATTAAGGAGTGACATGGAAGGCTGTAATTCTGGTCCAGGTGTTCAAAGGTATATAGGAGCTAAATGCCCACTGAGATAAAAAAATTAATTCAATAAGCATTAGGAGCTAGATCAAATAAAAAGCTTAGGCTTGGATTGATGCTGATTCCATGTAAGTCCAAAATAATGATTACAAACTCTTCTTTACCTGGAGACCACAAATGCTGAAAGAACCTAACTTTTTTCATTATGCTTATAGGCACTTTTTAAAAAAAGCATGAAATTCTCTTACTTTTGGTCATTCATCCTCTGCAGTGTGACAAGTACCTGGTCTAGGCAATTCAGAATTTCAGCCTCACTGGGATAGAGACATCAGGTATTGCTTCACCTCCTAGTAGGAGCTCTTGAGTAGAGTCTAATGTATTCTGACAAGATCAAGGTCCTCAATTAGAGGTTTAAGAAGGTGAAGAAAGCGCCCCACAAATATCCTACTAATATTGTCACTGTGCAGTCAAATACCAGACTCCTGGGACTAGAGAGAATATCCACGTAAGACATATTTTTGTCTAACAGCTAAAGCCACCAAGAAAGAAGAATTTTTAGATGCAGTTCCCAGCTCAAAGCCTTCTTCAATATAATTTACCCTATAACTCTTTACAGCAAAATTAATAACATTCAGAGCAAGGTCCAAAACCCAGGTTTCTGAACTGTCTTGTTAGGTAAATGTTCTATTCACTAAACTATCCATGCTTTAATACCTTCAGCTTTACTACACTTGAGCCTTCCATCCAGCAGGATGTTCTTTAACCATTGGACTACTATTGTTGTCAGGAGGATTCTAGTCCCCTGGGTTTGGAAGTAGCTCTGTGCGTATGTGCATTCCTACTTTCTCAACTGAGTGATGTCAAAAGTGGTTTTCTGTTCAAAGTAGTAGCTACTTTGCTTTCCATGGGAGGTCAGAGACTTGCATTTGCAGCTCACATCCCATGAGAGTTTTCTTCTCCCAGAGCTTTTGTCCTAAAAGAGGCATGTAAAGTTTATTACTTAGATAAATCTAAATCAGATGCATCCCAAATGTTTAAGCATCTGAGTAGCTAAATCGCTTTAAGTATCTTGGCTGTAGGCCTTACTGCAAGCAGAGCTGAGCAGTTCAGCCTCCACTGAAGTGAAAAAGCCTGGTTGCATTTTTTATTAAATCTTGGGGACTCCAAGGAGTGTGCATTTTGGAAAATCTTTAGCTCTTTTACCTGGGAGCCATGACATCCTGAAGCCATGGGAACCCCTGTATGGTGGTCCTTTGTATGGATTGTGCAAGTTGAAAGTGGTTTCTCTGATTTGTTTTAACACAAAATATTTTGTTGGTTATCAAAATTCAGCTCAGCTGATTGGAGAGTAAGAAAAGGGGTCAGGGATAATTGATTGGCCCAGGAATATGGGTAGAAGAAAGTTATTGGACTGAATCAGTCTCTGAAGAACAGCAGAAAAATGTTACGGAGAGCTCAGGAGAGTCAATATGACCTGCAAAAATAATACAGGGGATAAATAGAGAGCATTATTAGACATTATTATGAGACATTAATTAAAAATTAGTGAGCTTTTGGTGTGTGTCATAATATATTTAAAGCAAATGTTAAATATCAGCTGAAATTTAGCTAATTACTTCAGTCTCTTCACAAAACTACCTTCAAACAGCTGTATTTCTGTGTCCAACAAGTTAAACATCTGGCTATGCCATTTTAACACGTACAGTCATTCAGAGTTGGAATTTAGGGTAAATATTTGAATGTTAGAATAAGCATATTTCATCTACATCCAAGTGGAATACTGTTAGCATTTCTCAGGTTTGGAATGGGATTTCATGTTCTACATTTAAGATATTTAGTCAGCGTATCATACCTTATGATTGCAAAACAGGGCTCTAGACTGATCTGTAAGCACAGGTGCCTGAACTTTTAAGTAGTTATGTACTTCAAACAACAAAGCAAGTAATTTTATCTTTTTTATTTATAATTTGATAAGCTATCTTTTAAAAATCCTCTTTATTTTGTAGTATGAAAACAACACCTTTGTAACATTTACAAAATATTTGACTTTTACCTGTTTCAGGGAATAATATTAGCTTGCCTACTTGGCCTCAGTAGCAGATTTCTAGTTAATACTTTAATTTCTAGTAGTTTCTAGTTATTTCCTTAGGCTATGCAACAGAAAGAAGGTGTGATCCTATGTGGTAGGCTCACAGTCCTGAAAGGCTCAATTCTGATATAATACAGAGATTAAAAGTAATACAGTGGGAAAAAAAAATGCTTGTGTTACTTGTTGTTAATTGCTCGTTAGGTTTTACCCATTAGTGACTTTTGTCTTGAGAGTACATAGGGTACAGAAAAAGCTACAGGCTGTAAAGGTCAATTTAGTATTGGAAAGGATGGAGTATGAACTAGATCCCTAAAAGAAGGTTATTATCGTAACACTTGGAGTCACTAGGTGCCTAGTGGCACCTGCACCCTTCAGTGAAACACCTCAGCTCTCTAGTCATTGAATCTATGAATGAGAATCAAAATAGACAGTGAGATGAATAGGGAGCTGCCAAAGTTATCTAATAGGAAACAATGATGGCAGAGTTCGGTCTTGTACACTTGCTCTGTCAGAGGGATCAGATACTCAATGCTGGGTGGCAGGGACACATTTTTATGAGATCAGGTTTCATATCCCACAGCCCTCTTGTGCACTGAGGTACCTAAGCTGCTGTGTTCAGAAACAGAACACTTTGCAGACAACAATTCTGGAGTTTTGGGACTGGAGTAAGGAAAAGTTTAACCTCCTAAAGTATGCATTAGGACATTCATTTAAGAAGGCATATTTTCATACGATAATTGTTCCAAGAACAACTTGTGCATTTTACGTGAAATTCAGTTGGAAAAGATACAAAACTGACACCAAGACCTTCATGTCTCCTCAATGAGGTCAACTTCCTTAGTCTACAAAGTTGCTCTTCCAGGCCTACAACAGTGCCTCACAAAGAGGGACTGGAGAATTGTTCTAGTCATGAGGGTATCCTAGGAAAAGGCGTAGGGTCTTCAATGGCTGAGCCCACTGTGATTTGCTGATCTAGAACGTGTTGGTGTTGCTGGGGATTCAGAGCTGAGGTGGTAGTCCAGAGCTCTGGTATTCTTTTTGTGTCAAGGGAAAAATTTTGACCAAAAGCTACTTATGCTTGACTGAGGACACTATTTGTGAAACAGGGTGGGTAGGCTAAGAGGAACTGATAATTTCTGTGTTCTGAGCAGGTATGAACTAGGTGAGCTGAGTCATTTAATGAGTGAGATATGTATGACTTG